TTTGGGGAGTCATTCATAAAGTTAAAAGGTGAAAGCAACCCAAGTGTCCACCAATAGATGAATGAGTAAACAAAATTTGGTATTATAGAATATTATCCAGTCATATTAGGAAATGAAGTTCTGACACATGCTACAACATGGAAGAATCTTGAAAACATAAAGCCAGAAATAAGAAAAAAGCCATTGTATAATTCCATTTATGTGAAATATTTAGAATATGCAAATACATAGAGATAGGAAGTAGAAGTTGGGGAAAGTGGGGAATGGGAAGTTATTGCTTATCTTGTATAGAATTTCTATTTGGGGTGATAAAAGTTTTAGAAATAGTAATAATGGATGCATAACATTATAAATGTAATGAATGTTCCTGACTTGTACACTTGTGCACTTTCAATATATGTGTACATATAATATTTGTGGGTCTATTTCTCGGTTATCCATTGTGTTCCTCTGATTTATGCATCTATCCCTTCATCAACATCGAACAGTCTTTATTACAATAGTCTTGAAGTTGGACAGACTGATCCCTTCTACTTTTATTTTTGAAAATCATTTTAGTTTTTCTGTTTCTTTTGTCTTTCCATATAAATTATGTAATCTTATCAACATCTATAAAGACTCTTTCTGGGATTTTTGATAGAAATTGCATTAAGCCTGGAGAAAATGGGCATCTTTACCATGTTGAATCTTCTAATCCATGAGCATGGTTATCTCACTATATATTTAGATATCTTTTGACTTAGTGATTTAATGTTTCCATTTGGTTCTTCACTTTATACCTTCTTTTTAAATTGTTGTTGTTGTTGTTGTTGTTGTATTGGGGATTGAACCCAGATGTGCTTAACAACTGAGCCACATCCCTAGCCCTTTTAAATTTTTATTTTGAGACAGGGTCTCATTAAGTTGTTTAGGGTCTTGTTAAATTACTGAGGCTGACTTAGAACTTGTGATCCTCCTGCCTCAGCCTCCCAAAATGACAGGATTACAGACATGCCCCACTGTACCCTGCTCATTACATCTTCTATATCTCTGCTAAGACTTCCTACTTATTTGCTGAGACTTTGTATTTTCACTCATTTCAATTGTGTTAGTAATTGCTCATTAAAGCATCTTTATGCTGGCTACCGTAAGATCTTTATCAGTCTAACATCTTTTTCATCTTGGTGCTGGCATTTCTTTTTTTAATTTTTAATACCTTTTTAAAATATTTATACATTTTTTTAGTTGTAGTTGGACACAATCTCTCTATTTCGTTTATTTATTTTTATGTGGTGCTGAGGATTGAACCCAGGGCTCCTGCACACTGAGCCACAATCCCAGCCCCAGGGCTGGCATTTCTTAATTGTTTTTTTTTTGTTGTTGTTGTTTTTATTCAGTTTGAGATCTTGCTGTTATGAGTGATTTTTGTTGAGATCTGACTGTTTCCGACATTATAAAACTCTGCATCTTATTTTTTTAATATTTATTTTTAAATTGTAATTGGATGTAATACCTTTATTTATTTATTTTTATGAGGATTTGAACCCAGGGCCTCGCACATGCTAGGTGAGCACTCTATGGATGAGCCACAATCCCAGCTCCTCTGCATCTTATTTAACCCGATTTTAGCTGGCTTCCCCTGACACCTCTCCAACAGGAAAAGGGGAATACCACCTTGTTACTGCTAGATGGGGACAGAAGTACAGTTTACCCAATTGGCCTCTACTGACACTTTAGGATGGGTGACTCCTTAGTGCTAGGAAGGAGTGAAAGTACTTGCTCCCCAAAGTCTCCAGTGATACCTCCCTCCCTGGAAAGGGTAGTTATGCCTTATTACTGTTCCCCATGTGGTTTTTATGTGCTTTCCATTATGAAGGTATGATTGATTAAATTATTGGTCATCTCAATTGCCAGACCCTCTGTTTTCTGTGAGGTCTGAAGATGAGGCTGACAATTTCAAACTTAATCACAAGGTGGAGTCCTCTGGCAACCAGCCCCCTCCTTCAAGAATCATTTCATTAGCATAAACTCTAGTGTGATCAGAAGGGGCTTTTTATGAATAACAAAAGATATTCCTCTCACCCCTATCACTTAGCAAATTTCAAGGGTTTTGGAAGCTTTGTGCCAGGAACTAGGGACAAATATCTATCTATTCATATATATATTTCTTATTATTTTATAATATCACAGGAGGTAAAGTGGTGGCTGGCCTCCTTATGGGAAAAGTCCTGACTCCTCACTAGGCCTCATCTGACACCACCCCAGCAGGGAGTGGAGGGGTGCCCTTTCTGCCAGTGGGTGGT